AGGAGACAGCTTGAGTTTTCCCAGGGTCCGAGCTCTTTGGCAGAAGGCCCAGGCCAGGGCCAAGCAGAACCCGCGGCCCCCGCTTGGAGCCGACTGGCTCCGTAGGGTCATCTCGGCCCTGCCTGAAAAAGCGCCTGGTGTTGATAGGCTGTCCAAGAAAGATTTCCAGTGGTTGCCGCCGCTGGGTCTGCAGCAGCTGGCGGATTTCTATAACCTAGTGGAGCAAAGGGTCAGCTGGCCTTGGCAGGCGCTAGTTGTTTTAGTCACGCTCCAGGTCAAAGACGTGGATTCCGACCGTGCGATTGGCCTGCTTGCTTGGATTGTCCGCTTCTGGGGGCGTTTGCGTACCTCGGACCGAGCTGGTTGGACCAAGGAGCGAGCAGGACCGTGGGACACGGCCCTGGCAGGAAACTCAGCCCTGCAGGCCGCGCTGCTCAGATTGTTCAGGGATGAGCAGGCTGCTCACTCTAGTCTGCCAGACCACCAGAGCGCGAGTCTGCTCTGGGATGTTAAAGGTTTCTATGACAGCCTCCGCTGGGATCTTGTCCTGGAGCACGCTCTAGAGCTCGACTTTCCCCCTTGCTATTTGGCCCTGGAGCTCCAGGTCCACATGGCTTCCAGGTTTTTGAGAGAGGCTGGAGGTTTTTCACTTGCGGTGCAGCCAGGAATGTCCTTGATCCCAGGCAGCAGTGGTGCGGTCGACCTAGGTAGAGCTGCCCTGCATTTCGTCTGCAGTAAGATAGCCACGGGCAGACCTCTACCAACACTGCACACCTGGGTAGATGACGTAGTGCAATGCATGTACGGTGACAGTGGGAGAGTTTTTTGTGAGCTCTCAAAGGTGGGCCTGGAATTGGTCCACGGCCTGCGCGCGATCAAACTCCAGATTGCTCCCAAGTCGGCCATCATTTCGTCCTCGGGTCCCTTGGCTGCGAGACTCAAGGATTTCTTCGCCGACCAAGGAGTGCGCGTGCAGGCCAAGAGTGTTGCCGCGGATCTAGGCATAGACCGAGGCCGAGTCAGGGCATCCAGGCCCAAGCAAGCCAGCAGGAGAGCCGGGGCCGAGCGTAGGTTACAGCGTCTTGGCAAGCTGGCTCGGGGCAATCGTTGGTGCAAGAAATGGGCCCGCAAGATGGCCTTGACCTCGGCTTTTTCCAAGACTAGGTACTCGGATAAGGTCCATGGTACACCTCCCTCCGTCGTTCTTGGTTGGAGGCGGGCTCTTGGGAGGCTCACGGGGGGTGTCGCGAAAGGAGGGAGGTGCCTGACCACTCTGCTAGCGCTGGAGTACGGCAGACGGGACCCAGCCTTTTTCGCGATGTTTGACACGATCGAGGCCTGGTTTCAGATTTTGACCCACAGCAGTTTTGATGCTGACAAGACCCGAAGGGTCTGGAGGAAAGTCCTTGCCGAGCTTGAGCCCAAGCCAGCAGGAAAGAGATGGCGAAGCATAGGCACTCCTGTCGCTGCCACGATTGCCACTCTGCTGGACGTGGGCTGGAAACCTTGGGGTCCTTGGGCCTGGGAGAGCGACCTGGGTGAGCGGTTCGCGATTTCAGAAACCAAGCTCGGGCAAGGCAAGGTTGATCTAGCTGACCTGTTTGAAGCTCTGGCCCAGAGCAAAGAACGGCAGCTCTGGGAAGCTGCTGCTGTGAACTCGTGGAACGGGGCTGGGCTAGAGCAGGTCCCAGACCTCACAGACTTTAAGAGGCAGCTCCGCACGCTTGCTAGGAAGGGTAAGTTTGAATGGAGGGGCATCTTGCGGGCTGTGGCCATGGGCAATAGTTGGCCACGCGCGAGGCTCCAAGATTGTGGGCTCACTCAGGACAGCTCCTGCAAAAGATGTGGGGAGTTGGTCGAGTGTGATTTGCACAGGGCTTGGAGCTGCCCGAAGAATAATGATTTCTCTAAGGTCTCTGATTTCGTTCGGAGACGAGCTTTAGCTGATTGCGAGAGTAATCCCAGCTTCTGGCTGCGGGGGCTGACGCCTAGCAGCTGGACCGCCGTGCCCCTTCCCCCCGACGGTGAGGATTTCCAGACCTACGGGGGTGACTTGAGGGAGGCGGTGGTGGATGGTTTCGTTTTCGGTGGAGGAGATGCCAGCGGGGGGCCTGACACCCAGGACCCAGCCCTCCGTAGAGTTGCCTGGTCTTGGGTTGTTTTCCAGGGCATACGTGAGGGGTGTGTTTATGACCCTAGTGAGCTCCAGGCCCAGACAGTCATGTTTGGGAATGTGCCTGGATGGAGGCAGTCGGTCAACAGGGGGGAAGCTCTCAGTTTCCTGCAGTTTCTCAAAGCTGTCCTCCCTGTTGCGGATGCCTTTTTTGTGACGGACTCGAGCTATGTGGTTAAGAATTTCAGCAAAGTCCGAATGGGGATAGACCCCAAGTCTCATCTTGACGTGTGGCAGGCTGTCAAACTTTTGATGGCTGAGCATCCGAACAGATCTGTGGTGCTAGCCAAGGTTGAAAGCCACCGTAAGGTAGAAGAAGTCAGCGACCAGGGAACCGACCCCTTGTTTTTTCTGTTGAATGATCTCGCTGACCGAATAGCGGACCAGTGGGCTAAGGATATTAGAGTTTCGCACGCAGTCAGGGACACCAGGTCCCACGCCCAGGCGATTGCTTTCCAGGTCCGCCAGCACCTCGGTCACAGTTTAATGGCCTCCATCGAGGCCGATGGTTTCCGTGCTCCTAGAGAATCGGCCTTGCGGCCGAAGAGGAGGGAGATCAAAATCCAGCTGCTCTTGACTGCTCACCAGCCTGTTTGGGGGATAGGTTCCCAGGTCCGCTGTCACTGCTGTGGAGGTTGCGCGCCATACAAGATGGCCGACAAGTTTTTGGCCACCCCATGCCACCAGGGCCTTTTCAGGGGTATGATCATGGTGCCAACTAAGAGCACCGTGAACGGCAAAGACCTGCATAGCTCCCACACCTTGGCTTATCACAAGGAGTTCGGGAGCACGGTATGTCTTTCTTGTGGCTGTGTAGCCACTCAGGCCGTCAGGAAATTAGCTGGTCCTTGTACGACCAAGCTGAATGCTTATGGCAAGCTACAATTGAGGAGGTTACAGCAAGGCCTGCCACCAGGTTCCTCAAAGCTTGCCCAGACACAGCTGGCCCAGAAGAAGACCTTGCGATAAACCGTGGGCGGAAGTACAGGCGTGGGTTTGTCTACCCAGCGGGGGGCGCGGTGCGAGTGGGGACTGCCCGGCGGTGCGCCGTTAGTGACCCTCGCACCGTTGCTCCCCGGCCCCGCGCACGGCGCGGAGAGTTCAACTCTGCCTCTGGCTGGATGGAACAAGTCGTCGTCGTCGTCGTCGTCGTCGTCGTCGTCGTCGTCGTCGTCGTCGTCGTCGTCGTCGTCGTCGTCGTCGTCGTCGTCGTCGTCGTCGTCGTCGTCGTCGTCGTAGGGGGAGGAGGAGGAGGACGAGGAGAATCCTGAGTGAGACCCGCGAGCAGTGCTCTATTTAAAGCTGGAGTGCAACGCAGGGGGTTGGGAGTAACGGGCCCGCCCAAAAAAGCCTCCGTGACGCCATCGAGACTTTGCAATGTGTGGTTTGGCGCCCAATCTAGGTAGAAATTGAGCGTTCGCGAAGCGCGCGATGGTTCTAGCACATGTCTGCCCATATATGCATGTGTATATACTTATATATATGTGCATCGACCTATGCGTAGAGAACCAGAGAGAGAGGGAGAGAGAGAGGCAGAGGTGGAGCGAAGTAACGCACACATGTATATGAACAGAAAGAGAGAGAGAGAGAGAGAGAGAGAGAGAGAGAGAGAGAGAGAGAGAGAAAGAGAAAGAGGAGGACAGCGAGAGAGCGAGAGAGAGAACGAGAGAAAGAGAGAGAGCGAGCGAGACAACGAGCGGGACATGTACGTTTTGTGATTTATAGGTATGCTTTTATGTATACATGCATGCATACTTGCACATATACGCGCATACATTCATACACGCATACACACATACACATACACATACATACCCCCATGCATACACGAATCCATGCATCTATACATACATACATGCACACATGCGTACACACCCGCATACATATATATTTATATATGTATATATATATATGTATATGCATACATACACGCATGCACACACACATACAAACGCACATGCATGCACACATACATACACGACTCCGTACAGACATGCATGCATACCCTACATATATACATACAGGCATGCCAACACACATACATCTATACATGCACACATACATACACCCACATGTTTCACATACGCCTCTATACGGCCATAAGTACAATCATACACACATGCGTACACACATGTATGCATGTGTACACACATGCATGCATACATACCTACACACATGCAACCACACATACCTACATGTTACATACGTACATGTGTACACGCATGCACATATACATTCATACGTACATACGTACACACATCTTTAACTCCTTACCTACTTGTATTTATTTACATGTATGAATCCACATACATTGAGATAGAGAGAGGGACCGAGAGAAGGATATATATATATATATATATATATATATATATGGGCTTCCTTCCCTTTTTTTTGTTTGTTCTCGCTCTCTCTCCCGATATGTTCGTGTATCGGGTCCCCCGGCCATTCGACACATCTCCTGCGACCAGCTATTCATCTCGAGTCGCTTCGTGCTGTGCCCGTGGGCCCTCACAGCGGCAGTCGAGGCCGACATTGAACTGTAGGAGCACCTCGGGCCCGATGTCCTCGAGTCTTTTGGGGTCTTCTTCGCCGAGAGTTGGCGCACCCTGAGAGTCAGGAGACCGCCTCCGCCTCCGCCTCCTCCTCTTCCTCCTCCTCTTCTCTTCTCCTTCCCCCTCCAGGGTAAGTCTTCGGAGAAGCTGCATTCGCATCGGCAACGCTTTGAGCATGTCCCGAAGGTCGGTTGCTTGCTAATTCAGCTCGCCTTCCTCAGTCTCTGCCCGCGAAGCGACGGTCGAAAAAGGTCCCTTCTTTCCCCACCCCCGAGGACGTCGTTGACCACATCTGCAAGCTGGCCAAGAAGGGGCTGACTCCCTCGCAAATCGGCGTCACGCTACGCGACAGCTTCGGCGTCCCGCAGGCTCTCTCTCCGTTCCTCCTCCCCTCCCTCCCTGCCGTCTCTCCCTTCCCGCCTCCCCCTCCTTCCCTCCCCCCCTCCTCTCCCCCTTCCGGCCTTCCCCTCCCCCCCTTCCCTCCCTCCCTCCTCCCCTCCTCCCCCTCTCCTCCCCCCCTCCTCTCCCCCTTCCCGCCTTCCCCTCTCCCCCTCCCCTCCCCCACTCCTTCCCTGCCGCCTCCCCATTCCGGCCTTCCCCTTCGCCCTCTCCCGCTGCTCTTTCCCCTCTTCCCCTGCGCCCACGCGCTGCCCGCAGGCAGCGGCGGGAGGCTTTTGCTGATCGTCCTCGGTCTCGCGGGGGCCCCCCCCCGCCCCCCCCCCCCCCAGACCGTTTCGGGAGGCAGGCCCGGCCTTGGGGAAAAGGCCGGGCTGTCCGAGGGCCCCGCAGTTCGGGTGTTGCTAGAGGTGCCCCTGGCCCAAGGTGCCCCCAGGATTTTCAAGGAGGCTACTGCGGCCTCCAGAGCACCCCTCACGAGGTCCAGAGGGCCCCAGGAGCTCCAAAATTGAGCGAAAAGCTGGGGGCACCTTGAGCCAAGGGCACCTTGGCAACCCCCGAGCAGTTCGGAGCTTCAGGGGCGGGGGTCCATGCAGACGCTGCGGAGACGTTCGACGAGGCTGCGGAGACGTTCGGTGAGGCTGCTGAGTGACGCCGCAGCCGTGTGGTTACCCGCGAATTCACAGCCATTTTGGCCTGCTACCTGGCCTCGCCTGGTCCTCGCCAGCGACGATTCGCACCTCCTGGATCGGGAGCCTTGAGACGGGGGTCAACGCATACGGGGGTCAACCAGGGCACTGGGTCCTGCAGGATCTTGCGAAGACCCCCTATGGCTGACCCGGGTCAGCGAGCCGCTCGTGGCCGCGAGTCGGTCGCGCACATTGGCCGGCCCGCTGTTTGCGAAGCCCTGCGTTGCAGTTTCTTGTCCTGCATTTTTAGTTTTTGTTGGTTCCTGCTGTCCAGGGTCTGATTGGCCCAGGTTAGCATATCCCCGAACATTGGAACAATCAGGGCGGCGGATGTCCGGGTCCTTCTCCCCTTTCCTCTCCGCAGTCGAGGCAGAGGGCTATTCGCAAGCACGCTGTATCCCCCGCAGGTGCACGAACGTGCGAGACAGGAAGGTTGGGCCGCGTTGGCGAAAGAGAGAGAGAGAGAGAGAGAGAGAGAGAGAAAGAGAGAGAGAGAGAGAGAAACAAGGGAGGGAGAGAGAGAGAGAGAGAGAGACTGACAGAGAGAGCGAGCAAGCGAGCAAGCGAGCGAGCCACTCTCCTCTCTGCCTCCGCCTCCTGCTCTTTCTGAGGAAGGGGGCCGACGCCTCGTCCTCTGGGTCGTCCTCGCCATCCTTCCCGTCCTCCTCCACCTCCTCGTCCTTCATCCTGTCTTGTCTTGTTCCCCTACCCTCACTTTCCTCCTCATCCTTCGCCTCCTCGCCTTCTCCGCCTCCCCGCTCCCGCGACCGTCCCCCCCATTTTGGTCCTCGTCCTCATCCACATCATGCCTGTCCCGCCCCATCGCCGTTTCCCAAGAGCGCGCCAGTGGGACGAACAGCTGCGCGAACCCACGCTGGTTTCGAGAGTGCGCGTTGCGTGAACGCCCGTATCACGCGGCCGGTCTCGCGGACTGGGGGGCCGTGTTCATGTGTGTGGGTGGGCGCGTACGTCTTCGGTGGGGTCCCCGGCCTCGCCAGGCCCACGCCTGCACTGGTAGGGCCCCTTGCGAGCGGCCTTCGCCGTCCTGCGCCCCCTCTCCTGCGCGGGTGTCGCCGCCCGCTGGCCCTCGCGCTGCTCCTCCTCCTCCCCTTCCTCCTCCTCCTCCTCCTCCTCCTCCTCCTCCTCCTCCTCCTCCTTCTCGTCGTCCTCCTCCTCCTTCTCCTCCTCCTCCTCTTCCTCCTCGTCCTCCTCCTCCTCCTCGTCCTCCTCCTCCTCCTCCTCCTCCTCCTCCTCCTCCTCCTCCCCGTCCTCCTCCTCGTCCTCCTCCTCCTTCTCCTCCTCCTCCTCCTCCTCCTCCTCCTCCTCCTCATTCTAGATAACATATCCCTGTCGCGCCCCCTCTTCCGCTGGCTCTCGCGCTGGTCCGGGGGGCCCCTGTTTGCCGGGTGGGCACCCTGGTGCGGGTGGGTGCTTACGGTCGAACCGAGGCATCAAATCGAGGTCGGTTCGGGGAGGGTGCTCCAAAGTTCTGCGTGCTTGTTGCATGTTTTTGTGCATCTTGGGGAGGTGCCTTCGAGTGTTCTGTGTGTTTTTGGCCGGCGCAGGGTTTCATGTTCCTGACGGATGTTCTAATGTCGCAGGTCCGGCCGTAATTCGGAGGAACAAGCAGGCACATACACGAATTATCGTCGATTTCCAACAAATTATTAAAACAAATGGAAGTTGAGGGGAAGATTAACATTGTGTCTATTGGTGCCTATTTATTGTGAACGCCTGACGGCCGGTGCCGTCGACCCTGAAAGACATCGACGACGACCAGGAGGGGGAGGAGAAGGAGAAGGAAGAGGAGGAGGAAAAGGAGGAGGAGGCGAAGATAAGGAGGAGGAGGAGGAGGAGGAGGAGGAGGAGGAGGAGGAGGATGAGGAGGAGGAGGAGGAAGAGGAAGAGGAAGAGGAGGAGGAGGGAACAACAAAAAGGAGGAAAAGGACCCCCCCTGGGCCCCCCCCTGGGGCTGGGGAGGAGGACCTGAGGAGGACCCCCAGGGAGGACCCCCAGGGGAGAGGGGAGGGGAGGGTTGAGGGCGAAGCTCACACCCTCCTGGTGCAGTCTGAGCAGCACCTCGGGGCCCTCGGGTCGAACATGGGCGCCGTGTTCGAGGCAAACCTGGTGAGCAACAGCGCGGTGGACTTGCCGCTTTTCGCTTTCAGCGACTTCGAGGCCAGCTTCGTCGAGTCCAACTCCGAAGTCAATTCAGTTTTTGACGGTGACCCTCTCCTTGGTGGGGCACTTCGTTTTGGAGGCAAACAGGCTTCAGCAGTGTCACGGGCGCGTGCGACACGGGGAGGAGCCTCTGGGGTGAATGCGGATGTCTTGGTTCAGTTGATCGGGGCGATCGTGGGGAACCGAGTGCAGCCGCAGAAGACCGCGTACCAGACGCGGAGGCAGCGTGGCCGCGGTGGGGGACGACAGACCGCCCCCGCAGATGCGGCCCCGAGCGGTGGCAGCTTGTTCGCTGAGCTTCAGGGTTTGCTCCAACAGGCTGCTGCGGCACAGACGCAGCCATCAGATGCCCAAGTGGTCGCCACACTTCAGGAGTTTTTGGCAACACACAGTTCTTCGACGGGGACTGCGAGCGGGGCGCGGTCACCGTCCACGGGGAGGCCGACGAGGCCCAAGAAGACCGAGCAGGTCGACCAGCCGCTGGCGCCAGCAGGGAAGGCTCACCGCCGACTCTGGTCGCTAGCCTGGCCAGGAGCGACTGCGACAGGCACAGTCGATCAAGGAGAAGGTGCTCACGGAGAAGACGGTGATATGCTGTCAGAACGAGAGCGAGTTCAACAGGGCAAAAGAATGGAGGAGAGCGACTGGTGCTAAATACGGCGTCACCTTTGTCGTGTTCTCGACCTTCAAGGGAGCCCAGCAGTGGGAGGCGGAGCCATCCGCAGTTTGGTCAGATGTATTGGTGGACGGCCCCCGCGGGCCGATGACGGCAGGAGCATGGATCCTGCAGATGGGAGATGATGCTCCGACACGTGCTGCTCTTCCTGCCAGCCTCCGCGACGACGAACGTCCAGCGGAGAAGGTGGAAACGTTTGCTGCCAGACTCACGGTGGCACAGCAGTTTGCTTCGAACGAGCTGTACGGACGGGCCCAACAGGAGCCTCTGGCCTTACCGGCCTTGGCCTTCTCGGAGCTCGACCGCAAGAAGATCATCAAAGTGACGGGGGCGATCGACTACTCAACGGAGATTACCTGCGTAGTGGTTGCGAAGCTCACGGACCGCCAGAGTTTGCTGGCGCTGCAGTTGCCGACGGGTGTGTTCTTGTCTGAACAGAAGTCGGCCCAAGTACCGCGCTTCATCAGGATGCGCGAGACCGAGTCGGACGCGGACTACTACTCCAGAGTTCGGGGTCTTGCTCAACGTTCAGAAGGAGGTCGGATGGTGTGCCGACCGCACGTGGCTGCCCCGCTGGGAGTGGTCGCGGCTAAGCTTGCCGATGAGGCGGGGAGCGACTCCATTGCCCCGCGCTGGTGCATCACCAAGGCACCAGATGCCTGGGCGCACGAGGATGACGTGAAGGACTGGTGCGAGAAGCGCGGCTTCACCAGCGTAGCCGCCGTGACTCGAGTCAGTCGCAGGAAGTGGTTCTTCAGGGGCGAGCTGGCGGACTGCGCGGAGCAGGCCGCCTTCCAGTTCGCCAGCGGGATCGTCGTCAGCATGGTTGTCGCTGGCGGCTCGCCTGACAAGAAGAAGAAGCAGCAGCAGCAGCAGCAGAAGCCCCGCTCGGCTTGGGGGACCCCGCTCCCTCGGCATCGCGATGCTCCTGATGAAGATGAGGAGGAGGAGGAGCCAGCCGCTCAGCCCTCGGCTGCCGCTGCGGGCGAACGCTCGCAGGCGCCAGAGGGCCAGCCCGCGGGCGCCGCTGCGGGCACAGGCTCGCAGGCGCCAGAGGATGAGAGCGGGACAGGCAGCAAGAAGAAGAGTGATGTGGGTGGTGATCGACCCGACAAGCTGAAGAAAGCCAAGACCGTGTCAGTACCCTACTCCGAGTACCACGCGGTGCAAGAGAACGGTGGTGAAGGCGACTGCTTCTGGATCGCCGCTGGCACCGCCATCCACGCCAACAAGATCGGTGCCCCGCCGCTTTCCCCAGCGGATCGGGCACCAGGTGGCACTGTGCAGGGCTGCCTCCGCACGACCGCGGCGGCGTACCTGGGCAAGCATTTCAAGACCTTCGGCCTCAAGAAGGACGAGAGTGTGAGTGTCCGCGAGGGCATGGCCACCAACGGCACCTATGCAGATTCCAGGTGTGCGCGGGCCACTTCGCTCGCCACCAAGACGCGCGTCGTGATCTGGGCCAAGGCTGGGGACAAGTGGACTCTATACGGACCCCCCGCCGAGGACTTGAAGCAGCTACGGGGGCCATGGGTTTGGCTCGCGCTCTCCGACCAGCGCTACCAGCGCCCGGTCACCAAGCAAGCCCTTCCGCCCGAGGTGCAGAAGGAGTGGATCGACCAGAGCCTGCCGTGCCCGACGAAGGGCTTCAAAGGCGGAGGCCACAGCACCGGCTCGAAGCTAAAGATTCAGAAGGCCAGGGACCTCCTCGGCCTCTCTCCAGCCTCTTCCTCGAGACCTACGACGGTGGCGCGAGCCAGGGCTTTCCTGGGCTTGTCCGCTGCCTCCAGCGCTGCGGCGGAGGACCTCGCCGAGTTCGATGCCGCGGAGGTCTGCAAGAGCAAGCACCTGGCCTGCCCAACGCCTGGCTGCGGCTGGGTGCCCACGGCCAGACTCTCTCAGCAGCGCCTCGTCGAAGCTCGCCGACACTGGCGTGCCTGCCGTGGGGAACTGCCCCCCAAGGCGGATGTGGTATACAGAGTGCGACCTTGGCCCGCCAAGGAGCAGCGCAGGTGGGAATGCAAGCAGAAGTATGAGCAGTGGCTGCATTCGAGGGCCCTGAAGTACTCCAACTCATACTGTACCCTCGACTTCGACACGTGCGAACAGCAGGGCCTTGGAGAGAAGTACCGCGGTACACGTTGTGGAGTATTCAAGCCGAGCTGGCGGGCGATGACTGACAGCGCCTGTTCTGCAAGGACCGACAAGTTCACCCGCCTCCAGCTCCTGGCGGGCGCGATCGGGCTGAAGAAAGCAAAGGAGAAGTTGGTCAAGATCCGTGCCAACGCCCTCAAGCACACGACCACGTACCTGTCCAAGCCTGGTGTCCGCCAGGCCGTGAACAGGAAGCGGGCCGAGAAGCTCAAGGCCGAGGTCGCCGCTGGCACCTCGTGGCGGCAGCGGCATCCTCGGAAGGCAGCGCAGCAGCAGCGAGCTCGTAACCAGAGGGCATCGCAGCAGTTGCAGGCCTTGCCCGTCGCCGAGCGGCAGGAGTTCTACAGGAAGGCGAACTCCCGCAGGAAGGAACTCAAGAGAATGGCAGCGTTGCTTCTGGAGAGCCTCAGGGCTCGGGCGGGATCGTCGGCTTCGCGTGCTTCGTGACGCCAGGCCACCTCCAGCTCGATGCGATGTTGTGTACCAGGTGAAGGAGGAGAGGGACTTCGAGTTTCGTATTCGTCATCGTCAAGTGCGGCGTTGCCCGCGAGTTTTGGTCATGGTGACCCACTGCTGGGTGGAGGTTCTTCCTCGCAGCGTACCAAGTGTGAGATTGGATGTATCAACGTGACGGCGTTGACCAAGGCACGTGCAGAAGCGATTTTCAGACATGCAGACAGCCAGAGTATGAGTTTCATGGCCTGGCAAGAAGTTCGACTAGCCTCGGAGCGACCTCGGTGGTTGGTATCTTTGGCTGCCAAGTTCGGGTGGGGTATTGCGTGCAGCCCCCCGCCTCCTCATGACAAGTATGGCCACGGTGGAGTGGTCCAAGGTGGAACAGCTATTTTATGGAAGCGTGCACTTGGCAGGGTGAAGGTCCTGCGCTCCAAGGCCCTCGACCACAGGGTCGTCGCCGTGAAGACGGCCAACATCACCATAGTCTCCGCGCACGGTCCAGTGCGTGCCGATGGTGCCTGGCTCACGCGGGCCCTCGACTGGATGCAGACGCCGGGGGAGGACGTCGTGATGATTGGCGACTTGAACTGGGCAGCTAGCTATGCCAAACTATTGAATCCAGCCTGGCACCTCTCGGACACTGGTCTCCCCACTACCGTGGTGGGGGCGAGTCCTAGCAGAGCCGTGCGCTGGACTGCAGGGGACGGAGTCGGCCCCACTCTCAAGCATGTGTCGTTCGTGGAGGGCATCCCGCACCACGGCTTGTGCACATTCGGCCTGGAGGTCGAGGTTCCCACGCGTCAGCTCCAACGGCTCCGCCACACCGCGCTCTTCGCTGCGGATCTGCTGGCCTTTGTCAACGAGCGCGAGATCGTCGAGATCAAGCGGCAGCTGGACCGCGAGTTCCCTATGCCTTCTGAAGCTGCGTCCGTCGTCGTGAAGTGGAAGGCCTGGCACGCGCGTGCCGAGGCCGGCCTCAACCTGACGGCCGCCAAGAACTGGACGAAGCTGGACAGAAAGGCTGAGAGGCCCAAGGGCTCCGAGCCTACGACAAGAGCGACGGCACCTCCCCCCGCAAATCAGTTGCAGGAGTCCGTGGCCCTCCGCAGGGTCAAGAGGCTTCATCGCAGTTGTTCTGAACAAGTGGATTCCCGACGTCAACATCATGTCAGAGTCCATGAGAAAGTTGATCCTCGGCATTTGCAGGTGTTCGGCCAACTTTG